TTGTTGTATTTTTAGATGTTATAGAATGGTATGTTTTAGATATGATATATGGGAAATAGTATATCATAAGAAGAGTAAGTGACGAGGAGGTTGTTGGGGGGGGGTGGGGGGGGGGGTGGGGGTGGCGGTGGGGGGGCGTGCTGATGGGTGCTTATTGACAGACACCTTCACACACTGTATGCCTTAGTCATGCTACTTTCACATGGGCACATGGGGGCTGGAATTGGTTGCTTTTTATCGTGTTTGTCTAGAGAAAAGCAGGCGAAGTCCAAATAAGGGTAGGAAAATCACAAAGTTTGCATACAAAAATAGATTGGAATGTTATGCTAGGTGACTTGGAATATTGGCTCTTCATGAAAAAAATCTTTCTATTATGGGTTTAGCCAGAAGCTAGTATGCTTCTAGTCTAGCCTATAGTATTTAGGGGTGTTCTCGGCTATACCCGCTAACCATTTTAAACTATTCAAAAATTCGAATCATACTTATTTCGTCAAGCTAATTCAAAAGTATGAACGTGAATGTGCTTTATAGATGACTTTCTACGATACTCATAATCCATAATTTAATTCAGCTTTGGCTGATCGAGGTTCCTTCATGTACTGTAAACTCGCTGTTGAGCCAAAACTGCATTTTCACATAAACTCTGACATTATGAATTCCATTGTTCTTATAACCTGGGTATCAGAGGTTCTTCTTCTTCTTCTTCTTTTTTTTTCGCGCGTGGGACGTGCGGCGAGAACTCCAGTAGAACTGACACAAACCGAAAACCGCACATGAAAAGTCTCTTCCACCTTGGGCCAGTATCGTGCTTAGCCTACTCATCAAAGGCTGTCTTATGGTTTTTGTCGGAAAGGCCTATGGTTTGCGAAGATACTGGTACTATGTTTTTGGTAGCCTCTCATGCACGCGTTCTTAGGGCTTGTTCACGTGACGAGCCAAAAGAACGTCTGTGGGAGGCTATGGTTTTGTGATGTAGGCTTTTCTGTTACCATGGGATCATGTTATGTTTAGTTTAAAAATTAAATTCTTTACCATTGATTGAGCACGAAAGGATAGGATTGTCAGTATTGTTGCATCATTTGGTTAACTTCATCAAATGATCGGTAGATGTGCGAAAAAGTGCTGAAAGCTTTCGAGTTAAGACGTATTAACCTAACGTAAAAGGGAGCTTAATAGATTATTGGGCACTGTCAATGTAACACCAGTAAGATATTACCTGAAGAATAAGATATATTTTTTTAAACTGTTACAACTCACGTTAAAAATATGCAAACAAATAGGTAATTAAAGCTAAAAAACTTTTTGATTAAAATGTCGGCAGTATTAAAAAGACATCATATGGTCTCGCTGTTGGAGGTAATATTGAGCTTTGTTAATAAATATGAAACAAGGCTTTTGCTTTAAACAGGTTCTTGTGGTAACTGTGGATTTGCGGATTTTGGAACAAAGAAAGCGGTTTCTTCTAAAAGAAAAGCGTCAAAGCCTAACACCGACTGTGAGAAGCAATTAGCCGCTAATTGTTGATTAAAAATCTGAGGGTTCACTCTTTGTTGAAAACCGAACGGTCACTAGCGGAAAAACCACTAACCGATGAGGACACTAAGCATAAAAAATAACCGAGAAACATACTTTAAAAATAGCCCAAGGCCGCAAAACTCCCCACCTCTTAAAATGACCACAGTTCAGACATATGCAATCCTCCTAATATGAGTGAGCCGCTTTCTCTTTGATGAAAGCTGAAAAACCGAATGTTCGCAAAATGAAAGCACGAAAATCGCAAAAGGACATAACCGACATAACCGTACATGAAGACAGACTCGTACCCAGCCGTTTCTCTTGTTTGGGCGATGATTGATGGGAAGGCTCAAGCGAGTTCGCGTTGTATCAAGGGAAGGAAGGAAGAAAAACGAGAAGCGACTAGCATTTGGCGACGTTACCACTGGTTTCCCCGCCAAATGACGTCTGAGAAACGAGCGTAGACATTCCATACTGATGACGCGTCACTACCCAGATCTGGGTAGTACTTCTGATTGGTTGAACTCAAATTTCCCACGCGGAGCGATCAATCAGAAGCACTACCCAGATCAAGGGTAGTGACGTGTCATCAGTATGGAATTTCTGCGCTCGTTCCTCGGACGTCATTTGGCGGGGTAACCAGTGGTAGCGTCGCCAAATGTCGGCTGTTTTGTTAGGCTACTGGCAGAAAATCGAAATTTTCTTGAACAATTGATAAATAATTGCAAGTATTATTATTAGCGAACATTCTCAAACATCATTCGTTGTGTTAAACCAAGATTCATGTCCTTCACCCATCTGGAAAAAGAAGGAAATTAATGGACTTTACAGCATTTTCTTTACTTAAGCTTACATATATATTACTCTTTATTTGACAACGCCGGTTAACAATCTCGCAGCCAGAGGCTCATGCGAAAATGCCTATAAAAACAAAACTGGCAAAAACCTACAATACAATAGATAGATAACATGACGTAGCGTTGATTACACTCATCAGAAAGCTTCTTCATACACTAGAGTGTTTCTTCTTTGGAAGATCTGTTGCCTCGTCGATTCTTTGTGTTATTAAATAATTTATCACGGTTACTGAAAATGTAAGGTTTGAAATATATTTACGTTTTATTTGAATTCAAACATACCGAATTTTTTTTACTTCTCACGGAGGTTATTTGCTAAACACCATCCTGTGTGTCCTGAGGGGAGGGGGATCTGTAAACAGGCTAGTAAACACCACACTTTAAGTTCTTGGTGTCGGATTTTTAGTAGCAGGTCTAGATCGCGCAAAATTCGGATTTTAGAGATTTCAAAGTTTTTCGTTTATTGTTGCAATAGTGATATCGATTTTACTTAAAACCGCATTTTGACAAACTTCAATTCATAGTCAATCACTGGTGAAAAGTTTCTTAGCGATCGGACAGGGACAAAATCACCTCTAAGGCGATTGAAAAACATCGGTATGGTCTCCGAAAAACTGTACCGGAACACCTTAAAGATTTTAATCCAAAAGTCCTGCAGTGCCTGCTGCTTTCTTGTACGTTCACGTTCTATGAAAATACGATGTACGATTCAGATTAATCAGTTGAGTCTAGGTCAACGCCCAGGTACTCGTATGGGAAAAAATATATTTGATGCATGTCCCTTTAACAGAGATGTTAAGTTCCTTTCCTGAAGGTTGATTCTTTTTTGACGTTCCAAAAAGCATGTCTCAGTATTACTCTTTTTGGGATTAATCATCAGTACGTTTTCTTCGAACCAATGACATACTTGTAAATGTCTCCTTTGAGATTTCTTTGGATTGTTTCTGATAACACGCCTTTCCAAAGAGCCTTGAGATCTACAGAAAATTAAGGTAATCAATGAAGAATTCCAGTTTTGAATAGTAAGGACAGTGTTTGTGAATTAGTTTTTACTACCGTTGATTACAGTATTTGCTCCAGGTGAAGTGTTATCGAGTTCTACCCTTTGTTTCTTCATTCGAAACAAGTTTACAGCTCAACCTAGCGCTGAGCAGAGTAACCAAATGGCTTATTGGGTATTTAAGTCTGCATAGCCTGCATTGCAGCCGGCTATTTTATTTTATTTATTTCAAAAAAAACACT